TGCACGAACTCCATTCCCTTCAAGGATCTTCAAGGTCTCTTGTCAAATTGTTAGACCAAAATATTAAAAAAAAAAATTGTTTTGTTGAGCTGAAACTCTCAATACACAAAATTTGCATATCAAGGGTATTGATACCTTGAACTAGGGCTGTTCACGGGTTGATTCAGTTCTCAAACCTGAAGCATGTTGACACTGATTAACCTGAACACTCCAAGGTTTTAAAAGGTCAATGGCATAGTTGAGGTGTAATGGCCCAAAAAGGTGAAGCATAAACCTCAGGGCAGCCTCAAAAATTAAGAAAAAAATAATTAAAGTTTATAAATGATAAAAATAACATATAATATACCAATTTAGAATGATAGAAGGTACAAATATCCATAAAATAAAATTTTATAACCAATAAGTTTTAGCTTTTAAGCATTAAATAAAATAATAACTAATCAACTAACAATTATAAACATTTTACATTTCATGTTTCAAAATGCAAAGTTCTCAAATGATTCAAATGACCAATTTAAAGGAAAGCAAACATATGAAGAATCATCCATATAATTGATATTATATTTGTGGTGATCCAACAATTTAGAAGAATGTAAACAACTTAGTTGATTTGACCTATGCAAAAAGTTCAATAAAAGAATAAATCCATTATGCAAAGAAATTAGAAAATTAACATATTTTGGATGTTAGATTTATGATAATAAGAAAAAAATCCTACTTGATTTATTCAAGAGAAACTAAGAATTTGATTAGCCCTATTGATTTTTCATTTCTACTCTTTTTATTTGGCCCACAATTATTGATGTGCTTCTCCCATATATTCTGAATCTGAACTACAAAAATGCATAAAATCTATAGTTTTTGCACTAAATCACTAAATAATCATTGATAGTTGAGGCTTACACCTTTGTACGCCTCAAGTTATGCCTCACGTCTTGAGGATTGAGGCTTAGGTCTCATTCTGACAAAGGTTCAAGCTTCACAATTTTGATGCGAAGCTTTAGCCTTGAGGCAAAATCTGTCTTGTGTCAAGGCATATGCATCATGCCTCAAGGCTTAAGCCTTTTAAAACAATGCATGCTTCCATGTGATGAATTGAATATTCAAAATATCTTAGTCAATGATGGTATTCATGTAGTTGAACCCAAATTGCCTTGGGTGCTGATTGTGAAAATAACGGTAATCTAGAATTTGCAAGATTTTGAAGGGCAATAATTTAAATGAGACAATATTTCCTTTTTCAGGTAATGCAGGGTCTTGCAAAATCTATAGCATGGGATGGAGAAGGTGCAACTTGTCTAATTGAGGTATTGTATAATTTTCAACTTTGATAAATGAGGCAGTATCTTCTGTGATTCCTTCGTACATAGAGTGAAACTATGTTATGGTCAGAACAAGCATAGTTTGAACAAATAACAGAATACATTCATTCATTATTGGACTGCAAAGTTAAATTCTTGAAGCTCTTCTATCTATAAAGGAAATTCAAGCGTTGGATGTAACTATTGTGTCTTTTGCAACTATTTGCATGTCTGTAATGGTCTACCTTTAGAAATGAACTCAACCTGTTTCTCAATAGACTCTTAGATCCCGGCAGTCATATAGGTGTTAATGCCCTGATAAAGATACAGACACAAACACTGACATGGATGTAGGAAACAGGGATAACTTCATTTCATAAAATCCTGGACATAGATACAGATATGGATATGGGTATCTATATAATATGTTTCTACTATGTGTTTATATCTAGTTTTTTATGCTAAATATCATTTCTCAAGACTTGTGTTCTGATTAAATCTCAAGCAAATATAGATCTTTTATGATATAATTTGTTAAAACACACCCCATTTTACATATGTTAAAAGTGTTAATGCTATTAAGTACATCTAGAAAGCATCCATGCAGTATCTGGTAATGCATCTGATTAGTGCCATATCTGAGACAAGTATACGAGTATCATAGCCTATCAGTGGACCGTCCCATATACACACTGAAAGAAAATTTTCCAATATACAGATTACTTCGCTATTGTTTACCTGGATTTTGTAGCCCTCTACATTTTAGATTCAGTTATCCAGGTAACAAAGTTATGATACCCCTATAAAACCTGATTTTGAGCAACACTTTGTTCAAGAGGTGGCCCACTAAATTCAGTCCAAGTAGGGGTAGAGGTGTAAATCGGGTCGTGCCACCCGCAGCCCGGCACGATTTGTATGGGCCGTGCCGGGCTTGGGGTTTCAAGTCAGCTGGCCAGCCCGACACGGCCCATATATATTTTATATTTATATATATAATTTATATATAATATATAATATATTATATAAATTATATTTATATAATAATATATAGTATATAATATATTAGTAAAATAAACAATTTTTTTCAATTTTATTATACTATTTTTTTTAATTAATGTATATATAAGCAATTGTATACATCAAAATTCATATAATATTAAAATTTTAAGTTTTTTTCAATTTTTTAAATAAATAACTTTGGCCAGGTCCACGGCCCGGCCTAGCCCATGGCTTGGCCCACGGCCCTTTTCACCTCTAAGTAGGGGGTAGTGAATGATGCAGATGTTATGAAATTAGGGTTTTTTTTACCCGAGTCCAGCATGTTTCTTCTCAATAAGGTGTAGACTTTCTAACCGTATGTTATGAAGATAAGAAGAAAAATTTAGTACCAGGGTCCATTACATCATATTTTTTCAAAACATTGTACCATCTTTCTAATGAAATCTTAATAAGTGTGTAGGTCATGGTAACTGGCACCAACAATGAGGCTGAAGCAGCAAAAATTGCACGCTCGGTAGCATCTTCTTCACTTACCAAGGTATCCGCTCTCTCAACATGTAACATCCTAATTGGTAATGTATCTAGTATGATGTATGAACTATTAATCAAGCCATCTCTCTTATTTCTGTTTCTCTTTAGGCAGCAGTATATGGCAGAGACCCAAACTGGGGACGCATTGCTTGTGCTGCTGGCTATTCAGGGATTCCTTTCCAGCCAAATAAGCTTCGCATATCACTTGGAGATATTCTGCTCATGGATGGTGGGCAACCACTTCCTTTCGACAGGTGAGATAGCTATGTTTCTTTTAGTTGTTTTCTTTTCAAAATTGAATCTTTCTAGTATATCAAAACACTAAGTCGGGAACCAACTTCACTTATGGCAGCTACATATGCAATTTGGGGATGTTAATCTAGTGGTGCTTGGCTAGCTATGATACTCAGATACCTATACATGTTAACATACCAATGTCAGATTCAGATACAATACTGGATACTGCATGGATACTTCTAGATGTATAGTCTTTTTTTACAAGTTACGTTTTTTTGAAAAGGGAAAAAAAAATAACTTCTAGATGTATGTTATACACTGATACTTTTAAAATATGTAACATGGTGTCTTAACAAATTATACTAAAAAAAGTTGCCTGTGTTAGAAATTTAATTAAATTCAGCAAGACATACATCTTGAGAAAATGGCATATGGCTTCAGAAACTAAAAATAAATTTGTAAATCCCCAACAGTGAATGGTTAGGCAGTATAAGCGTATAATTCTGAAATCAGTATTTTTATTGTTCATGTTGCCATTTTCTATTCCATTCCGTTCTGTTTGTGTGATGTCCATTATCAAATTATGTGCACTTAAATCATTTCTTACTACACCTACCCAAGTTCTTTTCAGTCTGTCCCTGGCTCTTCTACCCCCTTAAACTCGTAACTGATCAATTCTTCTAATGGATGCTGTAGATGGTCTTCTTTGCATGTGACCAAACCACCTCAGTTTGCTTTCATTTTATCATCCATTTGAGCTACTTCTAGGTTCCTTCATATGACCTTCATTTCTGACCCTATCCTTTCTTGTTATACCACTCGTCCACCTATCTGCCATGTTTTTTTTTTTTTGTACATGACACTCTGCTCCATACAACATAGCTGGCGTTACAACCGTTTTACAGATTTTTTTTATAAGTAAAGAGTTTTGTTAATAAAATCAAATAGTAGTTATACAATGAGTTTTCCCATAGGAATACCAAAAAAAAACGAGTTTTCCCATAGAGAGGTGTGAGATGCAGCCTCAATTACAATGCAGATTACAATTGAGCCCAAAAAAAATGCTCCCTATACACCCCATGCTTAGCTAAGTAATTAGCTATCCCATTGGTCAATTTGTCAGCCATCCAACTACCAGCTTTGAGTACCCCTCAATTATCAATCTGTCCACGTTCAGCTCTCTAGCAAGCAGTGCTCCTTGCAATACTTGAAGGCCTGAATATAAAGCATGTATGGAGTCCCCCACTCCTACAGGACTTGAATATAAAGCAATTATATGCCCTTCTGCATTCCTAATTCCTAAACAAACCCCCTATTCTTGAAAGCCTTGGATTGCTAAGGCTGCTTCCATCAAAATTTAGCTTTATGAACCCTGCTTCAGAAGATACCCAAGTAGGACAAGGTTAAGCTTAACCTCTGAACTGTTTTACAGAAATTTCCTTTTAGCCAAATTGCTATTCTCCAAATGCACCCCTCCATTTTGGCAATCTTGCTCTAATTCTATGAGCGACATCTAACTCGTTCTCCCCTTTGTTATGAATTATTGACTCAAGATAAAGGAATAGGTTAAGTTGAGCTATCTCTTGGTCTCCAATCCTAAATACTGGTTTACATTTCCACTATTATTAAACTTACATTGCATTTATTCTACTTTAGTTCTACTTATTTTTTATTTTTTTGTTCCTAATGTACTTGTTTTAGGAAAAAATAAATGCATAATATGAGCATATTACATGGGATGTCCGTGTCCACGTCTGTATCCAGGATTTTAGGAAATGGAGTCATATCCCCATTTCCATATCAATGTCTTGTGTCCATATCCATATTGGGGTGTCAACAGTATCCAGAAATCCGATTTCGAATTTGATATTCAACATAATCGAGTTGAATTCAGATTGTGACTTTATTCAATTCAATAAATATCCAAATCTGGTCAATTATATAATATATTAAATATTTAAACATTTTAGGTAATGTACATATATACTATTTAAGTTATATAAATAATTTATATATTTTATATACATAAAGTATTCATATTATATATTAATTTCCTAAAATAATCATTTTGTTGAATTCAAATCAAATATTTGAATATTTAATCAAATTTGAATTCAGATATTGGTTGATTCAATTCAAGTTCAATCCATTTACACCCCTATATCCTTATTTTGGCATCAAGTTCGGATTGGTTCTCCATAGAGCGCATCCCACATGCACCCCACAGCACACCTCAGTGTGCTTTGGGAACGTCTGCCGTACTTGTCATGGGGAGATGTTCCCAATGCACAGTTAGATGTGCTGTGGGGCATGCTTTGGGGGAGTCGGTGCGAATTCCTTGGCATCATAGTTGGCCAGGCTTAGCACAAGGTATTAGCAATTTCCATGGTATTCATTAGTCATTACAATAACTGGTTTTTGGACTTGTTTAGAAATTTCCACGGTATTCATTTACACCCCTATAATACTCTAGCATCACAATAACTGATTTTTGGACTTGTTTAGCAATTTCCACAGTATTCATTACAATATCTAGTTTGTAAACAATGAGAGGAATTCCACACATTCATATCTACAAGCAATGGAACTTGGCTCTTTTCCCTACTGCATTTTCTCCAATTCTTTCATTGTTCTTTCTTGATATATGGAGCCTTTTCAGGAATGCAGCTAGTGATTATCTGAAGAATGCTGGTAAGACCCATGGTACGGTTGGAATTCACATTTCTGTCGGTAAGCATGTTTCAAATTCATGCAAATGTCGAATACTTATTTTTTGTTTGAAAAAAAAAACATGGTGAAACATTTCTAAGGATGCCATCTCTTCAATATATTTTAGGGTAAATTCTAGGCAATTTTCTGGTGTTAAGACACACACTCAAGATATGATAGTTGATGGTGTGATGTACCAGCATTGAGCTTAATGCTTCCATGTTGAATATATACTGTGAATGGGTCTGGGACTTATTATTGAATAAAATACCTCTATAACCCATAACTTTAATGGTATAAAAACCTATGTTTTTAAAACCAACTTAAAAATGAAATTGCTTTTCCATTTAGATAGCGGGTTAGTGGTTGAACCATCTGAGTCAAATTGGCTAACCCATGATGTCATAGTTAAATAAAATTCAAAAAGATAGACATACAAACATTTTTGTAAAAAATGCTGGCATATCACTAATATTAAAATATTATATATTCAACATATTAAACAAAGATAAGCATGATACATAACTTATTAATGATGGAGATGGAATACAAAATTTAAAACTAGCCAGAAAACAAAACTTAGACAAAACAAAATGGGCTGATCTGCTAGCTGGCAAATCTCTAATATTAGGCAAAATTGAAAAATAGATAGAAGTACAAAAAACATAGACATTTTGTAAAATAACAGTACAGCATGTCTCTAATATTATATATTCATCACATTATACAAAACAAGTGTAAATTAGAATTATTTTTATTAATGATGGAAATGTGTTGCAAAATTTATATTGATCAAAAAATGTATTGCAAAATTTGAAACTTGGAATCAAATCTGATTTTTTTGTCTAGGTACCAGGTTAGCAGTTCAATCATCTAGGACAGCCCATGTGCCATAATTAAATAATAAAAATTTAAAATAGACAGAAACGCACCAAATTATAGAAAAATATAGAATTTATAAAAAGTTGGGCGCACCTTTAATATTATACATTAATCATATTAAACAAAATGAAAAATTAAAAAAAATTTCATAAAGAAGAATTATTTTTATTGATGGTAGAAATGAACACAGAAATAAAACCATTTTCCATCCAGGCCAAATGGGTCAACCGACTCAACCCATGATGTCATAATTAAATTATAAAAAATTTAAGCTAGCTAGAGCTATTACAAATTTCGTGGAAACATGTAGGGACATTTAATATTATATATGGAAAAATCTATGATGCCAGAAAGACATGATACCACAAAGGCTTTGGCCAATCAAAACCCCCTGTTAATTTTGATGAAAACCCACCTGATTGGTTACCACCGCCTTTATGAAGCTGGTTGATTAGTTGTAAATTTTTCCAGTATCATGTCTTTCAACCATCATAGTTGAACCCATTATATATTCATACTATACACAAAAAAAAAAGAAGTATTCTATTGAAAATGGAAATGGAATACAAAATTTAAAAGTGACCCGAAAATGAAATTATTTTCCCATCTAGGTGGTGGGTCAGCAGTTGAACCTGGGTCAAATGGGCCAATGCCATGATTAGATAATAAACATAAAAATACATATAAAAATACAAAAGAAAAACTGTAGAAAAATTTGGACATGTTTATTCATCATATTAAACAAAAATAAGTGTGTTAAATAAGAACTATTTTTATTAGTGATGGAAATATAATACAAATTGATCAAAATGGAAATATAATACAAAATTTAAAATTTAATGGCATCAAAGTCGTTTTTTCATCCAAGTCAAGCCACAATGGTTCAATCGTATGGATTAAATGGCTAAACCCATGATGTCATAATAAAAAAATGAAAATTTGTAAAACAGATAAAAATACAAAAATCTTACAGAAGAACATAGAAATGAAAATCTGTAATATTATATACCCATCATAAAAAAAATATATATTTTTTCATCAATGATGGAAATGAAATACAAAAAATAAGAATGCAGTATGGGCCTAATGCGTGCTTGTAAATAACATAGGTCTGGGACCAGAAATTTTCAGATACCATATATTTTCCATATCATAGTTGAACCCCTACTAAAAAGTATTAGATGCTGAATATTTTAAAAATATGGAAAAATATAGGAGTTTTTCATGAAGAGATAATATGTATTATGTCATCTTTAAGATATTTTCGTAAATATAAAAATATTATTATCTGTTAATGTCTATATTTTTAATAGATTATACATACATTTACATGCAAAAGATATGATAAATTATCATTCCATATTTTAAAGAATGTATTAGACATGTATTCATTTTTAATTATGCTGAATAGTTTATTTTTTATGAATAACTCTTGCCCAAGGTTCTTATTTCGTATAATCTTTCGTCAACAGGAACAGGGCAAGGATCCGGGAAGGCTTGGGGCTGTGATTTAAGTTACGACTACGTCAAAATTAACGCAGAGTACACCACATAAGGACTATGATGGTGTCACTGACAGTGGAAGGACTGGAGAGGAAAATCAAAGAGAGGATTGTGAAGTTTAACCAAGACTACTTTGTTTCGTCACTATATATCGACTTGGAAGAATAAATTAAATTGAAGAGCCCAAGGATCCGGGAAGGCTTAAAGGCTACGATTTAAGTCACGACTACGTCAAAATTAACGAAAAGTACTGCCACATGAGGACAATGACGGTGTCAGTGACGGTGGAAGGACCAGAGAGGAAAACTGAAGAGGATTATGAAGTTTACCTTAGATCTACCTTGTTTTTTCACTATTTATGGAGTATGAACTTGGAAGAATAATGAATAGCTTCTTGGTATCAGCAGATCCCAGGGATGCAATTATCCCCGTGACTAACGATTGATGATTGGACGATCGGTATCTGTTCGTTCTCGGTAAGCCTCCAATCCTATTTTAATTGTCTGGTTAATAGCCTGCAAATTTGTATCTCTAGGGTTAAAACCTAAATCAAGTTCACAGGTGGATCCCATTCAAACAACTACAAGCTCCGCATCTTTACTCGTTATCTTCAATCTTCAAGGTGAAACTCCAAGAGTGCTCTTTTGCACACCATGACCCAGGAGCCATGAATCTGTAGCTCAGAAAAACCGTTGACTAGACCCTATATTTCCCAGGCAACTGTACTTACGAAGGCTTCCATAACCTCTCATAAGTCATAACCAACCAGTAAATCATGTAGCATTTACTGAATCTCCAAATGAAGATTGACGAAAACTTTCGTTTCTGAGATCGAAAATCTTTGATGTATTATTTGAGGCTAATATTAATTGGTCGGGATTTGCTGCACTTGATTCAGTCTGACTGTATTACGTGTGTAAAAAATTATATGAAAACACAAGTAATGCTCGAAAAGGTGCAGTAAATCTCGTTACAACATCATAAGGTTGATCATGTTTTTTAAAGGAAAAAGGTTGGTCATCGTTACGACTTGTGACATCGTAAAGTTGGTCATTCTTGAAAACGTTATGGCCTTTTCACTGTGGCCACACGCTCATGTTTTGGTTAAGATATTCTGGGCATGGGTCGCAAAAGATGATTTACCAAAAAAAAGAAAATAGCAAAAGATGCGTTATAATAATAAAATAAGATGCATTAGTCGTAAATCACGGAGCATAGTCAAGTAACTATTGTACAAGCATCATTGCAGGTAAATGGCAATGCATTCAAAAGAGTGGAGAGGTGTTGCTCAGGAATCAGGAGATGCATACAAAAATTAGATTTGATCAAATGACAACGATTTCGTATCTTCTAAATACATTAGATAATGCTCGGAAATGACAAATGGTTGAAAATGAAGATATGCTTATTTGCGGGATCTCTAGCGAAAATGAAATCCATCACATTACAGATCAGGATTCTCTGCAAGCAAAAAACTCCAGCCGCATGGATGGAAGAACAAACCACCCCCTGAGCCACCCTTTTAGGAGTCCAGATCTCCTTACACAGCGTGCGTCAGACTGACCTCACGGCCTGTCCGAACCGCACATCGGGAACATCTCTCTACTTGCATTTATTATTATTCATGATGTGGCTGTGAGGTCTATGTAAGGCGCACTCAGTGAGGAGATCTCAATTCCCTTTTCAGACTAGCCGTGAATTGGAGATGCATGCTAAACGAAAACCTACAAAACAATAACCCCATCATCCCATGTAAAGGACGAAAGAGATGCATCATACATACGAAACGAAATTTTACAACACAATAAACCCTTGTAACCGAGCAAAGATCAAACTCTGGTCGAAAAATGACATAGCCTGAGTTATAGTGTTCTACCATTATTATCTTACAGAATGCATTCACCAATTCACCATCCACAACCAAAATGGTGCAGGGACGAGTATTAGCAAATCGTTATTAACAACCAGTGAAGAATAGCATAGTCGCCCAAACTATACTTGTTTATATATATTTACATAGATCCGCATAGGGAAACAGAACTTGGATGAGGTGCCCTTTTTTATGTAGCCTCCGCGACTGAAATGTGCATCTTAGCTAGCGACGTCCTCAGGAAGCTACTGCCGCACTTGGTGTCCTGACCAGTTGTAGCGAAATCTACCGTCTCCACAGTCGACTGCCTCAGACCACCTATGAGTAATCTTTCACTGCTAGTCGGCAACTTCGAACGTGTATCCGTGCTTGAGACAACTTTGCGTGACTGCTTCTTGTCACTGCCGCTACCTCGAGAAGATTTGCTCTTGTGCTTGTGTTTGCCATTCTTCTTATTCCCTCTGGAACGATGTTGGTTGTGACTCTTCACTGTGTGAGATAGGGACGTAGCAGGTGGATCATAGACATCGGGAGCCCATGTCACATTCAACTTCTTCAAAGGCATCCCCTGCTTCTCGCGGCTACCTTTCATTGCAGACACAAGCTTCAAAGGAGTCTGAGAGGAGAAAGCACATGGAACAGGAAAACATAAGGATATTGTAAGGAATTAACCAACCAAAGCAAGTAACTCGCATCACTGGTAATACACTTCACACTTGGGAACAAAGCTTGGCAAAACGTCGTAATTAAGGAATCAACTTTTCGCATCTTACGAAACCAGGTGAAGTCTCACTTATTCCGATCAAATATCAGGGACGCCCTTTCATCGTAGTATTTACTACAGTACTCACATAGACACATCCAGTTGGCTGTATCTGCCTCATAGGTGGTGAGGATCAAAACAAAATAGAGTTGGCGTCCAAACGCTCTCAACACTGTTCGAACAGGACACTGCAACGTCTCCCTGGCCAGTTGCCATGGGAGATGTTCCCATTGTACCACCATATTGGCTTGTTAGGACAGAGTTGGGAGTGTTTGTTGGTAACAGATCCAAACACTCTTTTAAGTACTGAGAAACGAAACATTGGAAGAAAAGTTCACCAACTATTTTAGCAGTAAAGTTCTAACTTCCAACTATGTAGACAAAAAAGTCAAACTCTTGATGATTACACCCAACATTCTTTATCTTGGTAAATATGATGGTACTTGTCCAAACCTTGTGACTCAGGAAGTATCAGATGGTTTGCAATAAGCACAATGAAGTTGATACACGCACTTGTATTACGCAATGCAACAACAAGAATCAAGCTTGTGAAACAATAAACTTGAATGGTGGTGCAAAAAGTGGAAGAAAAAAAAAAAAAAAAAAAAGAAAAAAAAAAAAAAAAAAAAAAAAAAGATCTCCCAACAAATCCCTCCTCTTGAATAGAGAGACCCATATGCAAAAAAGCATACAAGTCAAGAAGTTGGGGATTAGTTGTATAAACTTGAATGACTTCAACGCACACAGACTAGTAGGACACTAGGTAGGTGGGATACTTACGGGCAGAGATATAGAACGAGTACAGGTTGGATTCCCAGACAATGTAGAACTTTGCGCAGGTATTTCCTCTCTCCCATTCATAGATGCAGCACATGTCATTCCAGAGCATGGAAAAGTTGCAAATCTTGTCAAACCCTTCTGGGTCGTTGAAATTGAGGATTGGAGCTGGTGTATTTTCAACTCCCCCCACGTTTTGTCATCTGCATGGTATATCTCATCATCCCCACCTAAAAGTGGACCGCTGTCTGGTACCAGTTCTTGATCATCGTCATGTAAGACCCCAGGTGCATTTTCAAGTTCCTCTACCAAATTGCTTTCCATGCTACCATAAGGGCATTGGTTAAGATTCAAACATGATTGCTCTAGTTCAAGAAGATTATCCACATATTTAGAAACTGAATTTCCACTCTCCGCTACATCCATCAATAATACGAGGTACTAGGATGATAGAACTGCCAAAAGGACTCATATTAGGGAAACAAAAATCTATATAATTCACTAAGACATAATCCAATGAAAAACGGGCCAACAACAATATGATACACCCCCCCCCGGTCCACCCCTATTGAAATGTATCATCCAATCCAATGGCATAAACATGATTAGGACCACGATGGTGGTTGTTATGACGTACAGGACTAAAATTTACAATTATGCATCTATGCATGCAACAGTAACAAAAATACATTACACTCACAGAGACAAGTCATTCTAATTGCCCGAGTAAATTGGGGAAAAAATACTTGACATAAGAATCAGGGCATTAAAAGAGAAATTAACATAGAAGATAATTTTGTTCCACAGATACAGTCTACGTACTTGACATAAGAATCAGGGCATTAAAAGAGAAATTAACATAGAAGATAATTTTGTTCCACAGATACAGTCTACGGTGGTCACAGTTAAATGAAAGAAAAGTGCATCTGAACACTGCTAAGAAAATTGGACAATGCTGCGGAAAAAAAAAAAGGCATGGAATAGTGAATTTCATCATGCAGTTGCATTTAAGGGAATACCAAAATGTGCTGAAAAGAAAACAAGGATGATATAATTAAACATAAAAACTTGAACTGCTAGACTTCCGAAATGCAAACCACATCATTTTTTGAGAAATTTTACAATGGGAAGCAAGCTGAGGCCTTGCCTAGTTGCCTTGACCTTAAGAAGGGTTATAAGTAGCCGCCTAAGATATTCAAATCTCTTCACAAATCATGCCTCCGATGTTCGAGGTGCAGATTAGATGCAACTTTTACACCTTCATGCCCATGTTCTAGCAATACAACATTGAAAGGGCACTGTGAGAATTGAACTAGCAACTCTAGCACCCAAAGCAAGAATCATATCGCCAGACAAAACAACCAGTTGTTAAAGTAATTGAGCTCATAGTCATAGTTACTATTACTGAATTTGCACAAAACCCAAAAGGATGATGAGTACTTAACAGGGCTCATTTCCTGGCAGAGGAATGGGATCAGGGTCAGTATTGACAAATAAAAGATCTGAAAGGAGCAAAAAGGAACAGTCGAGCAGTAGATCGCGAGCATGTCAGCATGTCTTCCTGTTCTCTGCATGTACTGAATGAGATCATTCGTTTTTTTTCTAAAATGTCAGCATGTCTTTCTGCTTCCTTCTTTCTTTTTAAACTCTATCTAGTCTTTCTATCTCTGAGTGAAGAGAATTAAACAAAGGAAGAATTAACCACAATAAGATCGCGACTCGCGAGCATGTTAACGGTACGCTATTCAGTTAAAACATCACAAATTTTTACACGTTAATATAAACAATTCATCTAAATACGGCAACATCAAAGCACAAAGCACAGCAGGAATATAATTTTTAGAAAAGTATGATAAAAATAAAGCAAACATAGCAATTGACACGTTGGGATCCAAAGAGAATAATATCGTGGATAATCATTGAGAACGTTTACCTCTACAGTTAAAAAAGAAAAGAGGTCTCTTATATGAGAGAGAAGTCCAAACGGTAACCTGGATCCACCCAAACAGCCACAAATTCCAACTTCCTTGAAAGATCGTGCTGGCCCAACCAATTTAAGAAGAAATGGAGTGTGATTGTTCAATGAGTGATTTCTAGATCTCTAATTCTTTTTATCTCGTTCAGATCCGAAAACGGGAAGAAAAGAAGAAGAAACCCTAAAATAACAAGATAGCCATTATTAAGCCGAACGTTAACTCAAATTACCACGCCGATTCCATTTCTCAAGCTGTTTCAGACGATGAGAACATGAACCACCATGGAAAGAGGTCGCCGAGGGAATCGTCGTTTCACGCCGGTGGATGAATTCTCCGAGCACCGAAGGCATGGTCGATGCTCTTTGAAACCCTAAGCTGGAAGATCAAGAACCCTAATCAAAGCCACCAGATTCAAAAGAAGATACAAAATCAACCTCAGATGTTGAGAGGTCTCCCTAATCACTTTGAACAAAAAAAAAAAGCTAAAATACCACCATCCCTCTCAAATCAGCCCATCAGAACACCGAATTTGCAGAGATCGGACATGTAAGCACCTCGGAAGCCCTAATGACGGATTATTAGGGATTTGTGGAAGAAAAGTTGCGAAAATTATGCAGATTTTGCAGCGTCTATTCTCCGATCCGATCTATGTGAGCAGCAGGAAGATCAGAGAGACGGGAACGAATGGCGGGCGCGGTACGGAGGGGATGAGGGGTGATCTTCACATTATATATAAAGACTTAATTAGGCAAAAGCCTAGGCGGTTCACCGACTTACCGAGAACCTAATCTGAACGTACACGTGGCGATTTTATATTCTTTCTTGTGCTGACTGCTAGCACCACGCCCACGGAACCGGAGTTTCCGAGACGCCGGAGTTTCCCAGTGCACGGTGGATGTGCTGTGAGGCGCCTATTTGTAAAGAGCAGATCCCATCACGGAGTTCCCAGCCTCCCACTGGCGGAACGTAACACCATGACCACAAACCACCATAATGAAGGTCCCTAACCACGAAACAGTGACGTAATCGTTGCTTTTCTGCAATTACAGAAATATCCTCCCTCCCAATGGCAAAAGTTTTCAAAAAAATAAATATTTAAAAGGGCTTTTTACAAAATAAACAACATATTTTTAACATAAGAAATTCGTTAATGTTTTGAAAATAATGCTCAATTTGGTGAGCAAATAAAAAAATCTCCTTTCGGACCGAATTACCCTTATCCACAAATTTCATTATAAAATGTAGGGAAATTTCCTCATAGTTACCCTGTGCTTTCGCTCGAGTATCAATTTAGTACCTAAATTTTAAAATGTGACAATCTAATATTCAAACCTTTAAAACACGACAATATAGTATCGTTAGTGAACCGTCAGTCATGTATATCACGTAACCTCGTGTATGATTTAGGATATTTGAAAATGTCAAAATGTTCATCATCTTCTTTCTCAAGAAAATCTGTTCCACATCTTTTCTTCTCCGTTTGAAATTCAAACAATTTTCTTCATCAAAAAAATGTGTTATGCATCTTTTATTCTCACTCTCATCAGAGTACCAAAACGTTTGGCGCTCTAAGCCATGAATGCGGGAGCCTTTCTCCTCAAAGCAACAGAACATTTTTCATTAACTAAGAAGATCACCAAATCGCTCAAAACAAAAGCAGTTGGCCTATAAGTCTAACTACAATAGCTTCCTTCACTGAATCCCACAAGAAAATAAAATACTGAAAGCTTTAATTTATAAATTACAGCCAAACCTGGGCATCCCCAATCCAAACAAACGTTCCCTACCCATTTCTTGCCAATTCACCTACTTGGACGTGTTAGGATAGGACTGGAAACTCCACTATGTTGATGGAAAAGAAACTGACTCGCCCATGCTCTACATGAGAGAATTTTAAGGGAATGCCATTGCACTTCCTCTCTAGTTCTTCGATCTCATTTCTTGATGGTGGATGAGCCCTATTTACATAGAGCATAAAACTTGGACACCAGTAGATGATTTTCTAAACTTGCTGTTAGGAAGGTAAACTTCAAAATCCGGTCTCAAATCACTAACCTGCAAATTTTTAAGTTGGTTGATGAAGGAAAACCTGTTCAACAATTCACTGTCTGAAACTACACTGGTTTTTGTTGTTCCTTGAAGAGCAGAGTTACAACCATTATTACTCTTCATGGTCCAAGGGACACCATACCGACCAACAATGTACCCAAGGGACTTTAGGTGTCAAAAGTCACCCAACAGCACCCACTCTTTCCTTCTACAACCTTCTCATATAAATCTTTCAGGAAAAGTGTTGTATCATCAACATCCAACAGATGTAGTGCCCCTATTTCAGCCAAAAATAAGGTTTTTTCAATTGTACAGTAGAGCTTTCCTCTTCGAACTATTCCTGTTGTTATCCACATTTTGCCTTTCTTTTCAATAACCTCAGCCATTCCCATCTCTGCATTCCAACGAGCCTTAGATGTATATTTTCTGAATTGCAATTTGGGGATAGAACCATATGTATATTGAAGTTCTTCACCATTCAACTCTTCTGATGTAATTTCAAGATCAGACATTCCATCAGATGAACTTGCTAGATCTTCAATCACCATTATGCTAGTTATTGGTCGTATTTGCTTTGTTCTGAGGACTGATAACCGTCGGCGCGAGTTACAAGGGTTCTTCAATTAGAGTTTTTGTCGTTGTTCCACAATCATGAACACTGGTGTTTGGTGAGCGGCCGGTGGGGTGTTTCGGGTTAGGGCTCAGAGGAGAGAGTGGGGAGCGTTCTTCCTTTTTTTTTTTGGGTTCTGAGAGGTTAAGTTATATGCATTACTCGAAATAGATGAGGGGTATTTAGGTTTTTTTGTCTTCTAACTAATGGTGAGTTAACGTCGGGTACTAAATTGTCGCAAATGAAAGTTCAGGTACTAGATTGTCGCATTTTAAAGTTCAGGTACTAAATTAGCACTTGAGCCAAAGTACAGGGTACCTATAGGGAATTTTCCCTAAAATGTAAACTGATTTTAAAACTTGTTGTAAAATGACATTGAAAAACTCTAACGAAACCCTTATTCCAATACTTACCCAAAAAAAACCATTATTCCAATGATAAAATCTTTAAACTTTAACCATATTAAATTAGGGTTAAAGACTCAAGACCTCCCTTGAAATTAAATATAAATACTAAAACCTCTATCTCTTTTTAAATTAGATTAAGGCTATGTTGGAGAGTGCATAAGTTAAAAATAAGTACTTGTTGAATAAGTGCTTAAAAACAAATGTTTATTTGAATAAGTATTTATTTGCATTTGACACCTAATTTTTTCAAGTGCTTATTTTTTAAGATAATCACTTATTTTATATTTGGTGTTTGGTTGTCTTTTTTTCTAGTAAGCACTTAAATAAGTATTTGTGACCAAGGTTCAAAGTATCAAAAACACCAAGTGTATCGTAAAGGCAATTTTAAGAGACATATCAAGATATGCCTTAAATACACATATGTATTGGAGAAAAACTAAGATACGCATAAATATGCTTGGAAACACTATAAAAAATACATCAACAACACTAAATATAACACCTCAATGAGGTGTATATACATTAAATTAATATATCTTAATGGTTTTGTGAAAAAATACATTGTAGTTAATTATAATTTCGTTAAAAATCCTATGCTTAACTATAATTTATAAATTATAATTCTCAAGTTATAATTTTTTATGCGATGGGGAAAAACCTAGCTCTCTTATCTGACCATAAAACATGCATTGGAACAACTTCTAAGTGAAAATATAATTAATAACTATTTATTATTTAAATAATTATTATTTATTTATTTACAAACATCATAAAAAACAAATAAACATTATATAATATATTCAAACAATAATTATTAAAGAAGAAATTTCAATTGATTTGTGGATATGATAGATCATCTATAGAATTATAATATATCCAATCATTGTGATAAAATGATAAAATATAATTATTTATTTATTTATTTTAAAAATAAAAAATATATATTAAACAACAAATTTCAATTGGTCTGTGAATATGATAGATCATCCATAGAATTATAATATATTCAATTTTTGTGATCAAATGATAAAACATAATTAATTATTATTTATTTTTAATTATATAAATATAAAAATAAAAAATATTGAAGAAGAAATTTCAATTGCTCTATGGATATGATAGATAAATCCATAGATCTAAAATATTTACTCTTTATAGGCAGAGAAAAATTACATTTTCAATTTTTTTGTTAATTTATATTTTCCCCAAATATCTTCATGAAATTTTCATAAATCTATTGATAACACAAAAAAATGTGATTTTGAATGTAATAAATGTAGATTAGCATAAATTAAAACATTCGAGAAAAAAAAGAGATCACAATATATTATAAACAATTGAAAATTTTACCTATTTTTGCAATATTTTTTTTCAAAATTTGAAAAATCTTCAAAAAAAATAATGATTCATACTTGTTTGTTGCAAATCTAGCACTCCATGAATGAGGTTTGGAGTTTTAGAGTCATTTGGGGGTAAAAGAAGCATTATTTCAGGAAAAAAAAAAGCTTGCTTTCCCCTTTTTTTTCAGTTTTTGGTCATATCTTTTTCGTCGATACGCCCTGATACGGGTCCGATACGCATGAAAAAAGACAAGACACCCAATTTTCATGTGTATCATGTATTTGTTTTTCAAAGATACGATACGATACGATATGCCCTGTACCGGGCGTATCATATCGAAATTTTAAACCTTGGTTGTGACTATTTTGTCCTTCATTTTCTTTCAAATTTTCAAAATATACCCTTTGAAAGCACTTTTATTACATTTTTTTATTAATCACTTTTATGAAAGTACTTTTCTAAAAACATTTTTATGAACTTTTATAAAAGTGTTTGTAAAAGTACTTCTGTAAAAAGTGCTTTTGTAAAAGTACTTTTACAAATTTGCTTTTATAAGTGCTTTCATAAAAGTGCTTTCGTATAAATGTTTTCATAAAAGTACTTTTATAAAATTCAACTAGGGATAAATTTATAAGTGGTATTTTAAAATTCAACTAGGGATAATTTTGGAAGAAAAAAATTGAATAAGTGCTTATTATATAAGCACTTAAAAAAACTGGAAATTTTGGTTTAAAAAATAAGCCCTTATTTTTAAAATAAACACTTATTTCAGGTTTATTTCCCAAATACTAATAAGTGCTTAATGGCCCAAATAAGCAATTATTTTGAATAAGCACTCCCAAACATAACCTAAGACCTCCCCTTAAAATACACCAACCATTATATGTAATAAAAGGAGTTGAAAAGTCAAGTATACCCTTCAAAAACAATCTAACAAAACTACTCAAATCAACTAATAAGCCTTAAATAGACTACCAGTAACTCTTCAAATTTCCTGATACAAGCCCGAATCGTCTGACGTTGTTTTACGGACACTGGCACTGCCTTCAAGCTTTATTGTTAAAGCATGCACTACCATCATGAAGTTCCAGCATACATCTACTACTACTAATGGTTGATTGGTTGTTAGGCTCGTTGCATCGTCAATTGATCTCCATCTAGTCAAGCTTCATTGGTCAATCAATATAAGACCAATGGCTTCCTTTACTAAGGAGAGCTGAAACCATTTTTTGTAGTCTTCTTTGGGTTTACAACTGAATTCGTCAAGAATATGGAAATTCAAATGAAAAATCAAATATCTTTAGGCTTTGTTTGG